CGGTGAGCTCTGAGCTCGGAAGCGGGCAGCGTGGGGGGGAGGGCTGGAGACCCGGCGCGAGGAGGCTTGACATTGCTGTTCGAGGGAAGAACTCAGGCACCAGGGGCGCCCAGCCCTCTCCCCGTGACCTTGAGGCTGGGGTTCTCCCCACTGTGCTAAGCTGGAATGTTGTTTTTATTTTATTTTTTATTAAAAAAATTTTTTTTGAATGTGCATTTATTTTTGAGAGAGACAGAGACAGAGTGTGAGCAGGGGAGGGGCAGAGAGAGAGGGAGACAAGGAACCCGAAGCAGGCTCCAGGCTCTGGTTGTCAGCACAGAGCCCTGCCTGGGGCTCGAACTCGTGAACCATGAGATCATGACCTGAGCGGAAGTCAGACGCTTAACCGACTGAGCCCCCCAGACGTCCCGAGCATACCAGGGGTTTTACAGGTGCACCGCAAGTTCCCCCGAGGGTCAGATGGAAGCTGTGTGCAGGCAGGCGTGGAGGCTGGGAAGTGGATCAGGATGAGAGATACCCCAGGAACCTTGGGCTTCTTGGGACCATCATAACTGTGGATAAAAGACACGATGGGACCACCCGGGATGGTCCCCAAACAGATCACAGACTCATGGAGCCCCGGATCCTCTCCATTCTTGTGGAGTTCCTCATTCGACAACTTTCTATTGAAATTTGACCCTGTGGCAGGTACGCCGAGACCCCAGCCAGACCCAGGACTTGAGCCTGAGGCCATGATATGCCCAGTCCAGGAAAACTCAGTTGTCACTTGGCCTCCAGAGGGTTTTACTATCCTCAAATCAGGTCTCCGGAAGCTGTGAATAATAACCAGGCCTTCTGGAACTCTTTCTCTGGGCCACGCTACCTAAGGTGTATTTCGCTTCATCCACACAACAACGTTGTGAAATAAAGTACTATCATCATGCCCATTCTGCAGACGAGGAAACTGGGGCACACAAGGATAAATGAACTCCCTCGGATTTCACAGCTGCCAGGTGGTTGTGTCAGGATTTGAACACGAGCCCCTGGTCTTCACCCGCGCTCCCCTGCCTGCCACCATCACAAGAGAGGACCGAAGACACCTAACCGGACCCAAGTGGGTCGCATAAGGGGCGCTGCTCAACGGCCCCACCTCCAGAGTTTAACAGACTTTACCTTTGATTCAGAAATTCCTTCCCCAACCTCCCCCCAAAAGTAACTGGCCAGTGATCAGCCCCTCCTTGTTTGTCCCTCTCTCGGGGTCAGATGGTTGAACGTCGCTCGCAGTGGTAACTGATCATTCCAAAACTGCCAGCCGAACATACTCAGTGGAGGAAAACGTGAAGGCCGCCAGATGAGATGTTGATTCAGGAACAGTAAGTGATTCCCACATTTGTCAATGTGACAGTCCAGTGCCATAGCATCTGACTCACTTCCTCTAAGAGTGGAACTCAGGAAGACGTTTGGGAGCATTCCCCGTTTTCTTCTGCCAGGAGGGCTCTCTTCAGTCCGCCAACATCCTGTCATTGCAGAAATGGGCATAAGTGCAGTGACAGGAGCGTGAGATGGGTTGTATTGCTACACCGGTTAGCCTGGGTTCACCTGCAAATGACCGAGTCCTGAAAATAGTGACTGAGCCCAGAACAGAAGAACACACACAGACCGTCCCGAGTGGGACGGTGGCCCATGATGGCACAGACCCAGGCTCCTTCTATCTTGTTGCTCTGCCACATGTGGCTTTCTTTCCCAGGGTCATCTCATAGTCCAACATGACTGCTGGAGTCCAGCCATTACGTCTGTGTTCCAGGTGTCAGAAAGGAGAAAGGAGAAGAGGAAGAAGTCACTTTATTTTTATGTTTATTTTTTATTTGAGGGGCGGCAGGGGGGGGGGGGGGGGGAGAACGAGTAGGGGAGGGGCAGAGAGAGAGGGAGACAGTGACTCAGAAACGAACTCTGCACTGTCAGCAGAGAGCCCAATGAGGGGCTCAAATTCACAGACCTTGAGATCATGACCTGAGCTGGACACCGGCCGAGCCACCCAGGTGTCCGGAGGAAGAAGCCACTTTAAAAGACGTGTGTCCCCGTGTTACTCCCATCCTTTCTTTTTAATTTCTTTGTCCGGGGTTTGATCACGTGGCTACCCCCCAACTACAACGAAGGGTGGGGAATGTGGCGATTTAGTCTCAGCACGGAGTCCAGCTTCCGGAATTAACTACTGCTCTTTTACTGAAAGAAAGAATCGCTGTTTGGAGACAAGTCACAGCCTTGGTCGTGGTCTTTCTGCTGACCTGTAAGAATGAAGGGCAAGGCCACGGGCCCAGGAGCAACTAGGAGACACGCATGTGGCTGGTGCTGGCATCTGGACACTGCGGGGGAAACGTATACAAGCAAAGCGCCAAGAGGTGGTTTCTGCCTCCCTCAGAGAAGCCTGAGTTTGGAGCCAAGAAGGGGGCTATTTAAAGGAAAACAAAAAATCAGACTGCATCTGTCTCCTGGCCAACTCCAGAGGCATCCACGGTGTTTCGTCATGTCAGGGATGAGGGCCTGGTACGATGGAGTCCCTCCCGGTCCCCGTTTCCCTGAAATCCAGCTAATCCTGCCAATCGCGGAGGAGCCTTGACAACATCAGAGTCCCGGCCCACCTCTCATCAGGTGAGACCAGTTATCTGAAGTGCTCAGCCCGGCTTCCTCAGGCTCAGTAAGCCGCCCACGTAGGAGGAGACTCAGCTGGGTCAACCTCAGGGCCCCCCGACCTTGCCTCTGTGACAATCACAGACGGCACTCTTCCTCTAGATGGATGTACCTCCTGGACACATGGCTTGGTTTGAAAAATTAGAAAACGTCACTCTCTCTGGGTAGACGCGGCTCCGTTCTCGATCTCAGCCCCCTGTGCCTCTCGGCCAGGAGCACTTGCGCTGTGCACAACCTGAACGGCGGTGCACGGCAGCCCTGATCATGAAGATACAGACTAGGGGCTGGCATCATGTTTCCTGATCACCCAAACAACCATGACTGCTTGTTTCCCGAGCATAAGGAATACTTCTTAATCCTGCCCCGCCGATATATGGCTTTCCCTCCGGCCTGCAAAGCTGGAGGTGATAGAGCAAAGCAGTTAACTCTTCTTGAGTACGTGGTTCTCCGAATCTGAGGACCCAGGGGCCTGCCAAGGACGGGCTTCTGCCCTCCCCCCACCCCGATTTCACTCGGCCACCGCTGTTCTTCTTGACAGCCCACTTGGCCTCCGGCTCCTGAAACTCTTTGTCACAGTGACAAAATCTTGAGCGAATGTGTAACTGGGCTGTGTTTGTATCCAAGGAAGTGCTACATTTCCCACAGCTTTTTATATAAACTTCCTTTCATTAAAACAGCCCAGCACGCATCTGCGGTCGCAGGCTGCGAACGGTGCTTTGAGATTCTAAACTTAGCAGCTCTTTGACCCCTCCCGGGTCCCCAGATATGGGTTCAGACAGAGCCTGCACTCGGGGAGGGGAAACCTCTAGTCCCTGCACCCCAGCCATTGGACCGGTGTGACCAGGATGGGGGGGGCGGGCAGGGCGGCCGGCCGCGGGGTAGGGCTCAGGAGCCCACGCGGGGGAACGGCAGCCACGAAGGGCCACGCCCTGGAGGAGTGACAGCTGTCCGGGCGCTCCCCACGCACCCCGTCTTGAGGGGGAAGCCGTGCCCTTCAGCACTGAGCAGAGGCAGGCAGCAGATCTGAGAACAAATCGCAGGCCGTGATCTCGGGGACACCCCCCCCCCCCCCGAACACCACTGGTTTTGTTCCATCCTCATGTTTTAAAAGGAAAGCTCTATTATTATGCAGGGCAGTGAGGCCATCAGGTCGGGAGACAACTACCACTGAAAAGGTTGTTATTCACAGTTCCCTGGAGGAGGGGCCACACCGGGAAGCACCAGGGCCGGTCAGGGGGTGGGGGGCGAGGGGAAAATGTGGCCAAGAGCCTCTGCGTGGTTTAACGGGGAGCAACGGGTGACGCGGGGCAGGCAGGCGTGGGCCCCACGGTGGCCTCTTGCGCTCTGCCCCTCCCCCGTCCTTCTGCCGGACGCACAGGCGCGGTACCCGGAGGCACACCAGCCTTCTTGCAACACGAAGAAGACAGCTTCGCGCCGGTGATGGTGGCGAGAGGGCAGGAAGCCTGGGCGGCTCGATGGCTTGCGCGGTCCTACGAGGTGGGGTGATGCTGCTATTTCCAGCGCACGGAGCACAAAACCGCAGCTCGGAAGGTGAATAAATTACCCCAGATCTTGCAGTTTTTTAAGCGACAGAGCCTGCTGCGGACTGAACTGCGTGCTCCCAAACTCAAACACGGAAGCCCTCACCTTTCTATTACCTTAGATTGTGAAGGCGTTTGGAGATAAGGTCAGACAGGGTCATTGTTGCGGGCTGGTCTCGGCGGAACAGTAACCAGTGCTGTGGTTGGACGGGCCCGCCTGGTTCTCGCTCTGGTGGCAGATGTCCTTCAGTAACAACCATCAGGGAACTTTGAAATAAAAGTTTCTTACTTACAGGACCTGGAAGTTACACAGCACACCTGGGGCCACACAGCAAGGTCCCAGAGAGAGAGAGAGAGAGAGAGAGACAGAGTTAGTGTGTGAGTGCCCAGTCCTGGAATTCTACTTTTATTGGGGTTGAAGGCGGGGGCTAGGGTTTTGAGGGTTCATACTCTACTGGTGAACTTAAAATATAGGCCTAGGAATTCGAAGGGTGGGAAGAGAAGGAAAAAAAAAAAAAAAAGCAAGAGGCCCAAATGGTCTGTTATCTGAGTCAACCAAGATGGCTGAAACAAGGAGACCGGCAGGTGGGGAGCTGGCTCTTTACCCAGTTCCGTGGCCAGTCGTGTGTTTACCGGAGAGACGTCTTTGGAGTAGATGCCTCCACCATCAAAGCTGGAGCGAGGCACGAGCACTGAGAAGAGAGCACTGAGAAGAGAAGAGACACTGAGAAGAGAAGACCTTATCACTGTGGTCAGGAGGATGGTGCTCTAACCCCAGGGGACAGGTGTCCTTCCAGGAAGAGGAAGAGACATCAGGGGTGCACTGAGGCAAGGCCATGTGAGGACACAGCGGGAAGGTGGCCGGGTGCGAGCCAAGGACAGCGGCCTTGGGAGAAACCCATCTGCCGACACCTTGCTCTCGGACCTCCCGATCCACTGTTCTGGAGGCTGGTGGTGGGAGGGGGGCTGCCCTCCTGGGACCCTTGGCCAGGCTGGAAACCACCTTGGCCTTCCCCTAAGGAGACCTGTGGGCTTCCGCTTCCTCTTCAGCTGCTCAAGCATTTGACGTCGACCCGGCTTCCTCGTCTGAACTTAGCCCCTCAACCTCATCCTCCATACCCAGCCTTACCACGGACGGGGGGCTCCAGAGACCCACCTTGGAACCCCACCCCAGTCGCATTTTGGAAGACTAAGAGTGAGAGAAATGTGGCAGGAGGCAGAACATCCGTACCCTGTGGTTTGTGGTTTATAGCCAGCATCAACTGGGAGCTGAATTTTGTCAAATGCCTTGTTGGCATGTGTGGACGTGATCACGTGGTTCTTCTCCCAGCTCTGTGAAGAGGATAGATTTCCTGATATTAAACCGCCCTGCATTTCTGGGAAAAAAATCCCACTTGCTCGTGACATATTAAACGTGTTTGGGGATTCTCTCTGCTTCTGGCTTTATGAAAAAATGTTCGCGTCGGTATTTGTTAGTGACAGACTGTCTTTGTCAGGTCTGCTAGCGATGTTCTATTAGCTTCATGGAAGTAACACGGAAGCTTACGTTCTTTTTCTGTGCTTTGTGATGGTTCAGGCACCTTTGTGATCAACTGGTCTTTAAGGTTTTCATAGGGTCCCTTGGTGAGTTTTGTGTTTGAGTTTTCTCCTTTTCTTCCGTGACAGCTCTCTGCGTACACATTTTATCTGTACTTGGGTTGATTTTGGTACATTTGACTTTCTTAGAAGTTTATCCATTCTATCCAGGTTTTTAAATTTGTTTGCTTAAACTAGCGCTAATATATATATATACATATACATGTATATATATAGGTGCATTCAAAACAACCTCAGCCAGTCCCCTGACTCTATTTGCCACTTGCGGGACAATATCGAGAAAACCTGAGCACACACCACATAGAATCGCACACCTGATGACTCCTGGTCTCAAGCTCTGAGCCAGCCGCTCACAAGGCTTCGGTACATAGTTCAAAGGCTGAGCCTTGATCGTTGCAACTAGGGGAGAGGCCTCGGACCCAGGGGCAGGGGATGTAGGGAGAAAAGCAGATTTCTAGTGGGATCAAGTTCGAACAGAACAAGCATCCACACCCAAGCATTGAACGAGCTGTGAGTGGAGGCTATAGACGGAGCCGATGGGAGTCACCGATCGTCTTATTTTTAAAAATTCTTCTAATTATTTTTCTCTTGTCATTTACTTTGTGTATTTCTGGCTCTTTCTTTCTTTCTTTCATTACGCCAGCTAGTAGTTTTCCAATTTTGTTGATTTCTCAATCCACTGGTTTTGAGGTATTAGTGAAACACTCTTTTTCAACTTGTTACATTTCTGCTTTGACCTCCATTAATTCCTTCCTTCTGCTTTCTTTTATTTACTTTGTTGGTCCTTTGCTAGTTCTTTATTTAGGTGTTTAATGATTTATAGTTTCCGATATTTACTACTAGATATTTTTGTAGATATTGTTGGAGCAGAATCATATACTTGCTGTTCTGTTCATATCATTACTTTCTAGAAATTGTACAGCTTTGGAATAGCTCCCATCTGGCAAGCATGTATCTCAATATATGTGTTTGAAGGATGCCTGGGTGGCTCATTCGGTTAAGCATCTGACTCTTGATTTCAGCTCAGGTCATGATCTCATGGTTAGTGGGATGGAGCCCTGCGTCGGGCTCTGTGCTGATGGTGCCGAGCCTGCTTGGGATTCTCTCTCTCTCCCTCTCTCTCTGCCCCTCCCCCCTCTCAAAATGAATAAATAAACATTAAAAAAAAAGATACATATGTCTGATTTCCAGGAGGAAGGGCCTTTCTGTGGGTTGGATGTTAGTGCTCAAAAACCGGCCCGGGGTTCCCTGGGTGCTGACTGTTAGGGCCTCCCCCTCCCCCAGAGTGGGGGGCTGTGGGGTCTAACAGGTGACTGGAAGTGGCCTCAGGGAGGGGCCCTGCAGAGACGTGTGGTCGCTGAGATGGCCTGAGGAAGACAGGACCAGAACGCAGCTGGAGTGAGGAAAGGCAGACACTGGGGGGTCCAAGGGGGGCTCTGGGACCCCCAACTCTCATCCCTGGGATGGGGGTAGTGTGGACGTCTACATACCCAGCTCCACACGTTCCACCAGAAGCTTCCCAGAGACACTTCTCTTCCTCCTTGCCATTTTTGGACACAGGTTTTGTCGCTTTTCTATTTGGTAGAACTTCTGTCTGTGGCCCTTTGGAGACACCCAAGACTGGGGGGAAGCCTCCAAGAGCAGGAAAACCTGCACCCCCACGTGGAGCCGTGCTGTGTGGCACTGATTCAGTCTGAGGCTGCTCGTCCTCTGAAAACTGTTGGATGATCAGGGGCGGGGGGGGGGGGTGCGCCTGGGTGACTTAGTCAGTTAAGCGTCCAATGCTAGATTTTGGCTCAGGTCACGAACTCACAGTTCGTGGACAGAGTCCTGCGACGGGCTCTGTGCTGACAGCGTGGAGCCTGCTTGGGATTCTCTCTCTCCCTCTCTCTGTCCCTCCTCTGCTTTCTCTCTCTCTCAAAATAAAGTAATATGCTTCAAAAACATGGTAGATGATCTTTCAGGGTGTGTTCTGTGTGATGACAAAATGTCCTGGATTCCGCTAACGATTCTGCTCCTAAAATGAAATTCTGATCAGGTGACGGCTTCCCCAGTCGAGAAAGCCTCGAGGCTCACATTCGCTGAAGAATTCTGCAGGCCCCCAATCGGGTTGTGACAAAAGCACGGACGCTGTGCTCCGTTAGGCCCAGAGTGACCCCAAACCCTGCCCGGCACCAGGAGGTCCCGTGTTCAGCCAAAGCCTGCGGAAGCAGGAGCCTCCCTCAGGCAAAACCAGACCCTAGCAGGTGCCGGAACTTTGTCACTGACCGTGAGGCGTGGCCTTGTGAAGAATTAGCACCCCCACCCCTGACTCTAGCCCCACCCCTCCCTTTATCCAGAAGGGCCAAGGCACAGCAGCCCTTGAATGAAGACAAGACACTGTCCCTTCACCGCCCCGCCCCCCCGCCCCCCATCGACATCAGCCTCGCCTGCTTCAGAAAATGTCAGAGTCCTTGCTTCTGGAGGGGAAGAATTAAAATCTACAACAATGCCCGGCCTCCAGAGCTCCCAGTCCATTCAGGGAGACGACATATAAACAGCAGCCCCAGTGGGGTTGGGAAAGTGCTGAAATGCGGGGCCATCTGGGAGTGGAGACAGAAGCCACTTCGCAGCCTTCCCGGGGCTGGGGAAGGAAGTTAGGCGCAAATCTCAGTTGCGTTAGGTACACGATGCCTCAGCTGAGAAAAATACTATGAGTATTTAAATATATAATGAAGAAATCGATTTATATACTGCTCTTGTAACTCTAGTGTGAGACACATTTGAATTTTGGCTCTCGTACATTTGAACGTGTGAGACACATTTTGAAATTTACAGTTTCACAGCTTCAATCAGGCATTCATAAGGCGGACCATTTTTGCTAACAGTGCCATCACTCCTCTACCTGCGTTCACCGATTTGGGGGTTCCTATGGCACAAAGCTATTAAAATCCCATATTCAATAAGGTAAATCATACTTACGTCCCCAGGCAAAATCAAGAGCTGTCCGGCTCAAAAACTCTTTCATCAGTCAAATGTAAATTACCTCGAGAAATGCCAAGCGTTTTCCGGCCCCGGAAACTGTTGCCAGAGAAGGTGGACATCTGTTCCTGTGAGCTGAGTTCATTTTGTGAAGGTCTACTAGTTAAACTCAAAGCAGCTCTCAGTTTTGGGGTTTTGCTTTGCATATCAATGCCCTTGATTGTCTTATCTTCATCTCTTTCACTTTACAACGTAAGCGATTTAGTCATACCAGAGGATTCTGACCCAAAGACTGGAGTGCAGTTTTGTATTTTGAGTGCATCTTGTATTTTGCAAATTTATCGCTAAAACCCACAGTTGCTGAGCCTATGGGATCCATTCGGGCACGATGCAAAGGGGATAACAAGAAATGAGAACCCACTAGAATAATGCTGCTATTGTGTCTGCCTACTGTGTTTGTGGGTTGGGGGGGGTGGGTGGGAAGGGGGAAGGGCAGTAGGCGGCGAGGGGAGGCCCGTGGACATTCACTGCACCGCGGTCCTGAAATCCACATCACGCGCACATGGCTCCACCTTATTTCAAGATGATGTTGCCAGACGAAGGGGCAGAGTGAAGGGCTCCGGCGTGTTGTCCTGTTAGTCGGCCACGCGCTGGTGGCCACCGGGCCACCCAGAGTACGATGACCTCTCGATGGGCCACGGAAAAATGATAAAAGGTGTTGGGTACCATGGGCTGCTGTGCCAGGGGCACTCGGGAGAGGTTCAGGGTGAAAACAGTGACACAGCTGTGGGTATGCGGCCGCCCAACAGCCAACGGCGGGATCAGGGATCATACGGGTGATTTGGTGCTTTTGCCCCTGCCTCGTGGCCCAAGCAGCAGGACAGACGTGGCTGTGGTTCTCCTGGTCTGAATGTATAGAATTCAATCTATCCAGACCAACGGTAGCCCAGGACCTAGCGTGTGGGAATTCGTGGGTCGGCTGATCTCTGAATCCACGCTGGCGTGCCCCAGGGTCCTCTGGGGGGGACACGACCCGGACTCTTCCTTTTCGTCGTTTGGGGCAGCGGTTTTCAGAGCCGAGTCAAGCTTCTGTTTTGCTTCAAGCCCGTCAAGGGTGGGCTTGGGCATCATTCGCCTTCAGAGGCTGGTGAGCCAGAGCCGTCTCGGGACCCGAAGTCCCACGGCTGTTGACCTGAGACCCTAAGATCATCTCAGGTTGCCACCTGCCCACCGTGGAGGCGCCTGGCCGCTGCTTGCCGGCCATCGGGTCAGTGTCTACGATTAGGCGTATGTGGAAACTCACCAGCAGAGTTAACGCAGACTCTGGGGCCAGCAGGTGGGTTTTTTAGGGGCCTCATCTTGGGCACATGAACCCCTCTGGGCTGTACTTTCCTTGTTTGTGAGATGACAACAGTCCTAGTTTCTTCCGAACTCGGCTGTTGTGAGGGATCCGGGAGAAAATGTGCGTAAAGCATTTCATGTAACCACCTGGAAGACAGGAAGGTACAAAGGCTGGCTGCCGTTGCCAGGACGTCTCACGCTGAACTTTTCCAGGGAGTCCCACCGTCTCTCTCCTTGAACTTGGGCCGGAAGGGCTTTTCTGCAACAGGGGGTCACGACTCCGGGGATCTGGCGGCAGGGGGAGAGCGTGGTGGGGCGGTTTCTGAAGCTTTGCAAGACAATTCCACGAGGCTCAAGGCCACTGTGCTCTGAGCCTGTGGCCGTTAATTTCAAGATGGATGGCACATTATTTGCAGAGCGGTTGCCAAGGAACGAGGTAATCCTGTGACAGAAATACCGCCCGGGGCTTTCGGTTTGCTGGCCCGGAGGGCTTTAGGTGGTGTCAGATTTTATTACTAGCATTCCTGGTCTCCATGAAATAACCACGGGAGAACACAAATTGCGTCAAAGGACGCATCTACGGCCCCGATTAGCGCCGCACAGAAAACAGGCACTTCGTTTCCTTCTGATGCTGATCCAAAGATGGGTTAAAAAAAAAAAAAAAAAAAAAAAGACACAAGATCACGTACCTTTAGGCTGGTCTGTAACCTCCCATCTGGTCAGGTGACCTGCCCATAAACTGGCTCCTCAGCAAGTCAGCCGCGTGGCCTCTTGGCCCCACCCTCGCTAGCCACGTGACCAAGGTTGGCTCCACCTTCACTAGCCACGTGACCAGGGATGACTCAGGTCACCCTTTCAGATCGCCACCGGCCTCCTCAGTGGGTGATGTGCAGTGAATTAACCCACGTCCGCTCGGTGGGCACATGGCGGGCACCAGCGACCGCCAGCCCCCCCTTTCCTTACAGATGGCTGCAAAGGGGGCGCTCTGTCCCAACAGAGGGGCCCTGGGGGTTTTGCGGGGGAGAAGGGCAGCCGGAGGGGACCGTACTTTTTACCAGCGTATTCAATATGGAAGCATAGTGTGAGGTAGTACTTTAGTAATTTCTTTTTGTTTTGCGAGAGAGAGGGAGAGAGCACGCCTGCATTCGGGGGAGGGACAGAGAGAGAAGAAGAGAGAGAATCCCAAGCAGGTTCCACACTGTCGGTGCAAAGCCCAGTGCGGGGCTTGATCTCACCAGTCATTGACCTGAGCCCAAAGCAAGAGTCGGATGCATAACCAACTGAGCCACCCAGGTGCCCCGATCTAGTGATTTCTATACCCCAAAGTGAGTGACCCTTTGGCTAATAACTTCAGATTATGTGAAGCAAAAGAGTAACTATCATGGCCACATAAAGCATTTATATCCCAGTGAGTCGGTAAGCATTCCTAATGATGTAGAAAGTTCTTAAAAAGAGCTACTGTGATCATGTGACTTGCTGACGCTTTGTACAAGTCTGGCATGGATGTAACGTGCATAAACTATACACACTGTCGAAGGCGGGAAGCTCCTCAAATAAAATCATAGGATCTTACTGCAAACTTCACATCTTGCAAGTATAAAAACTTTTCGTGGAAACAAAGTTATAACCAAAGTCGAAAAGAAAATAGATGCAGATTTGACTTTACAAACTTTGACCATCAGCCACAACACGAGTCAGTTGCAAGGAGACGTGTGGTTGGCTCCAACCCACTTTAGGAAACGCTGCTTAGGGAACAGCAGGACTCCAGTAGCCAGTTTGGGGGCAGCTATAAGGAAGCTGGAGATGGTGGGGAGGGGAGGGGAGGAGGCAGAAGGTTCTGGGAGACGGACGTGTGCAGAGTGCTCGAGGTCCTTCCTGCTCCTGAGAGGCTGGTCTCTGCCGAGGGCCCAAGTCCTCCCTTCCAGGTGGGGGCAGAGTCTTGGTGGATCTTGCTGCCATGTTCCCATTTATACTGGTCTGACCCGCGGGCACGGGCAGAGGGGAAGTGGCCGGGCCGCCCCCTCCCCCCAGGAAATCCTGCCCCTCCGCAGGCAGAGGCATGCCCACCCCGCCCCTGCCTCCACAGCTCCTTCTTTGTGGCCGTGGGGCAGGGAGAGGAGCGGTGGGCACAGCGGGGCCAGGGCAGGGGCCTGTCACTGCTCTTCCTCAGGGCGAGCACGCTGCATTTCCTCCAATGACGGGAACAGAACTCTCCACGCCAAAAGCCAAGCAGGACAGGATTTCTAGGCCGCTCTGGCTGCTCAGGCAGTTTGGGAGATGAACTTGAGCTCCAGTGCCAGGGTCTGTGGGGGATGATGGGATGGGGCTTAAAAACCGGCCAGGATGGTGGGTGGTGAGTGAGCCAGACCCCGTCGTCAGCCTCCGTGGAAGCCTAGCGCACGGGAAGCTGGGGGCCGAGCCCACCTGGGAGAACCGTCTGCTACAGGGGCTGCGTTCGTTTTCAGGAACAACCCAGAAGTTACAGAAGAACCAGTTCGGTCTCCAGGTCAGACAAGCTTGCTCCCCGGCTTTCATCACGGTGTAGCCTTTACACCTAGACAGCGAGGCCAGTCGGGCGTCAGCCAGGAGGCAAACTTTACCTTGGGAGCTGGGCGATGCCAGGAAAGTGACCGTGTCGGGCGGGATTAAAGAAGGCCCTGGAAGGATCCAGGGCTGAGCCCAGCGGGGCGGTGAGTGTCGGGCGGCCTCTAGCGGCCACTGCCGGTCACGCTGCTCAGCGGACACCTGACTCGCAAGGAGAAAAGACACTTCTTCCATTTCTTCCAAGACAGCAGCGGTCGTGAGAATATAAAACAGATCCAGAAGCAAAACATGTAATTACATTTAGTATTTAGTCAAAGATACTAAATAGTTGTTTTGAAATACAAATAACTGAGGCTGATGCTTTTGAGGATATATTTATTAAATTCTAAAACCTTAAATAATTTTTATCGGACACATTCAAACGGAGAGCAAAACTAGGACAACTAGAAATTCAACATTTTTCAGAGGGTTGTGGGCGCCCTATTATTATTTAAATGTGTTTTTATTTTGCCTACAGGAAAGGTGAGCCGGTATTAATGAAAGCATCACCAACTGGTGAACTTCATCTTGGCCTCCACTTGATGTCTTTTACCCCGTGGAAATGTCTTTTCAAAGCAGTGTTATCTGCCCATGGGGAATTTAAACAGGAGTCATCGTCATTTTCTTCCAATTTCTGGAAATAAATTGTTTTACACAGGAAGGCATTTCAGGAAAGTGTTTTGCAACATGAACAGACTGAAGAAAGAACCCACGTCCAAACTCCCACTCCCGTCTCCCCAAAAGGATGCTCCCAGACTCTAATGCAGGTGGGATGCCTGGCAGGGTCCCGGGGGCCCTGGAGAGGCGGGAGCTCTAGAAACGCTCCTCCCTACATCCTGCAGAACTCACGGCCCCTCCGGCGGCCCCCCCGCTCACTTGGGTAAGGAAGGGGGTGAATGCCCGTGGCGCCAGCTCTGCTGAAAACCTATCAGCCCGGTACCTTGAGCTCCTCCTGTCTTCTGTGATAATACAGCATCAGCTGCTTCTGCTCCGCACTGCTGATGATCGGTTCTCGGGCTGGGGCCCCTTGTCCCCTCTGCAAAGACGAGGGCAGAGCAGACTGTGGATTACAGCACTCTTACAGGGGCCTCCCAGGAAGTTACAGTGAATGTTTCATAACCGCCTTTGCCGACTGCTACACATAAACTGGTGATCCGATCTGATCATCAGGAGAGGCTTGGTCTCCAGCAGCCCCTCAACCCTGGGCCCTCACGTGGACAGAGACCAGAGGCCGGGCAATGCCACCGGCCGCCACGGGTCCAGTGGAGAAGGGATGGAGATAATCATGGAGAAATGATTTAGGCAAAGCAGCCTCGCACAGATACGGCTCTCCGCGATCTATATATGTAACGACTTCTGGCACATCCTCCTTGTTTACAGAGGATCAGTACTTTGAAAACTCGAAATCAGTGCTCTAGGCTGTAGTTTCCATTTTGAGAACCACTTTTAGTAACTTGTAGCCCTATTTCTAAGGTTGAAATTAGCATGGCTTATGTACACCCCCCCATTAAAACAAACTCCAGATATCGTCAAGCAATCCATACTGTCTTCCAGTTTTCGCTGTTTTACGTTAAGCCTGCACTAACGGGATTAAAGTATTTGTAACAAAGAGACTAAGTGAGAGTTACTCTAATTTTTTATTGGTTGGAAAACAGTTAACAAAAAGTGGTGTCGTGTGAAAGCAAAAGTACTCACTTGCTGAATCTTGGCGATAATTTTGGTTTTCTCATTTTTGCCCACATAGTCTGAAAGCTTCTTTGTTCTTCTGAGTTCCTTGGCCGCCCACCACAGTTGGGCCTCTGATTCTTCAATAACATTCAGTCCTGCCTGGGGCCGTGGTCAGAACTGGCTTTAAGGTGCATCCGGACACTGGCCCACGCGTGTGATCCTCCCCCAGGTGCACGGAGCCTGGCTGGTCCCCCCTCCACCAGTGTGGGGCAGAGTCTGGCATCTCAGCCCCACCCCACCTCACCTCTCCCCACGGGCGACACCACCACCCCCACCGAACCAAAGCCCTTGCCCATTTTCATGCCTTTCCTGGTAGCTCCAACTCTTGCCCTGACTTCGTCACCCTCCTGCTCTGGGAGGTGGGGAGCACCCTATATCTCATGTGTACCCTCATCTACAATACAAGGTCCTTCTTGGATGGATTTTGAGGATACTGCCAGGAAAGAACACTGGAATCCAGCCCGGTTTTTACATCTAGGCACAATGGGGCTGTTTGTCTGCTTCTGCACAGCCCGCCTATTTAAGATGGCTCAGAGCCACAGGCACTGTCCAATGGGATAAAGGATAAATGAGAAAAACAAAGGAAAATGGAACATAAATGCAGGAAAATAACATGAAACAAAAGGTGAGGCTAGAACACAAAATTCCAGGCAAAGGGACCAATGAATGCACTTTGGGTAGAAACAGGCACGAGTTAGGTTTCTGGCTTCCCAGTGGCCAAAGAGAACGGGCAGGTTTTCAGTTACTCCTGCTGGGCAGCCCCACAAACTTCCTGCCCCTCTGTGTGCCCTCAACCACGAGCACTACTTTCGGGGTCTCCCCTAAACCCAGGGCTCTGCTTGGAAGCACAGCATGGCAGGATGGAAGGCTGTGTATGAAGCGAAACACAACGTCCAGGAGAGGAGGCCCAACTCTGCAGTGACCCACCCCACAGGACGCCCAAGAGCCACATACCTGAGTCCCAGACAAGTCTTCTTTATTTTCGAATTCCATCCGGACGGGATCGTATGGCGGCAGCCCCATGGGATAGACAATCATCACTGCACCTCGCAGCTGGTCCAAGGCATCTTTCACCATCTCCATGGTAACACAGACTCCGGCTTCCACTTGTTTCTGAAGGGACAGGGACAGGAATCATTCTGTACAATGGGACTGACCGATTCAGTAAGTACTGATCGGGTTCTTGTACCAGTCTCCTGCAGAGACGACTGCCACAGGACACAAAGGACTCCAATGGGGCTTGCTACCGAAGCCACCAACATCCTCGCGGGGCTTCTGCTGCGCCCGCCACGGCCTAGACCACCAAGCAGACTACGAGCGGGGCCGACGAGGGCAGTCAAGTGCGGAGGACGCTCAGCAGCGCAGACCGAGGGGATCGGGCCATGCCACGCCACGGTGGGGGGAAGGTGGAGCAGGCAGGTGAGCGACAGGACCAGGAGAAGCAAAGAGCAGCAGGTAAGTGCAGCCAGTGCACCAGTGCCCAAGGGGGTTGGGGACGTTGGGGCTCGTGCTGGGGAGGCCAGGCTGAGGAATCTGCACGGAGGACAGGTGGCGACATCTCTCCCGGGCAGGAGCCTAACCTTGTGGTGGGTGAAGAAGGCTCCCGGCTGGGGGAGAGCAGGGAAATGCCCAGCAATTTCCTGAGTGGCAGGAATGTCTGTTACTCATAACGAGCCCCTTTGGACCACACCAGAGTTTATGCTAATGAGGTGACCCACGTGGGACCTCATTTCAGGGAGAGGGAGCAGAGATTAGAGGGTTGAAACTTTCAGACCCAACCCCCATCACCATCCTGGCCGGGGGGGGGGGGGGGGAGAAAAGGGAGGGGAGATGGAGAGGAGTCCCGTGGCCCAGGATTTTATTACTCACGCCCACGTATA